CTTCTTGTTGCGTAGCACCTCCAGTTTGCTGTCAAAGTTGCTTAGTTTGACGATTACCATATGTTTCGATCGTATTGGGACAACATCTTGTATTATCACGTCTATCTCCATTTTTTCTTTGAATAGTTTTCCTACTTCCATTCTTGTATCTTGCATATTGTCTTTGATTTCGATACCTTTGATTACTACATTATTTCGCTTAGCGAGTTTTTCTTGTTTTTCAAATTTTTCTTCTAGCGTTTTTATTTTATGGTGTAATTCTTCTTTCTCTTTTTGCCATACGAGCATTTCTTTTTTCCGTTCTTCGTGTGCTAATTGCATTTCTTGCTTCAGGTTTATAATTTCGTCGGTATTTTTCTTTAGTTGGTCGTTATTGTTTTTTATTTCTTTTTTTAGATCTTCAGCCATGGTTTTTATTAAAATTTTGATTTCTTCCATTTCTGGTTCCGCTTCTAAGTTGATGCTTGGCGCCGATCTTTTATCAGGGGATCTAATAACCTTTTTACTTCTTTCAAACGCTGTTTCTTCTTTATCTACTTCTAGTCTCTTTCGTTTAATGTAGTCTGTAATTGTTCCTGTACTGTGTGCTCGACTTCTGTGTGTAGTGTTTCGTTCGGTGTCTATTGTTTTAGTTGGGTTAGCGGGCATTAGTTAACGAATTTTATTATTAATATTTAAGGTAAGAAAAAATTATGGTTGTTTAAATAACTACCTAATGTAATTCGTTTTGGCAACTGTGGTTGAATTTTAAAGTCCTGCAGATTGAGTTTGTTTTGATAATGTTTACAATTGTTTATTGACCCTGAATTTATTTGCAACTATCTTTTATCAAACGGAGCTTAGATAATTTCACTTACTTGACTTATTTTCGTAGGTTACATTGGCAAATCACTTTAATTAGTAACACTTAAGTGATATTATTATTAGTTGTTCTTTGCATGCACCGGGCTCAAATTTTTTCTCTCGGTTTTGAAACTTTATCACTTCTATATTTAAAAAGATTTATGATAAAATTAAGAGCACGACGCGTACGTGTTGGAATTTCAGAAACCACTTCATGGAGTAGAGATATTTAAAAGAATTCTCTACAGTTACTCATCCAACGTGATAAAAGGAATTTTATCGACATGAGAAAGCTCACTCCTGAGACGCACGAAGTAGATATTTGGTCAACTTCTGATTCCAGGATACTCTAGCATTTGTCGCAAACGAGTAGAGTTTCGAGAAATCTAACTCGGTTGAGACTCGGTCAAAAGGTAGTAAAGGAAACTTTATTGGCACGTGTACTCAGGGTAGTGGGAGACCCCAGGGCCTAGCCAACCCTGCTCACTTGATTGGTGTCAGACTCTGAGGGGCTATGAATGCTTTGCTGTTTCACTTAACCGACGGGTAAAAGAATATTGATATTCCTGCATTTTGATTCTTAAAAAACTTGTTAAGGAATTCAGGGTGGATACCCACGTGAAATTCTGGTCGGAATAGGTGCGTTTGGTTGCATTGCAGCCAATGGAATTACTATAAGTACCTACTTACTTACTTACTCTTTAAACATTAACATGACAACCGGATAAAAGATCGTGACAAGAAAAATTATAACAATATTAATAGAGCCACCATTAACATATTCGCGTACCTTCATAATTAGATTAAACAAAATATGTTATATAGCATCGGTAGGCTTAGAAAGGTGACATCATTGGCTCAATTTAGCAAAAGATTGACACGCAACCTAATATTTGGTCACTACATGTATATGTAAGAAACAAAACATGTCTTTGGCAAAATATTAGCATAATTTAAAATGTAATCATTCAACAATCTTATGACTTAACGCAACTCGCCCCCAGAAAGAAACAGTAATTAATTGGGAATTATGATCAGCAGAATTATATAAAATTATATAACACTGCGAACGATGAGTGTAATTAGTTATAAATGGCAATACTTATTTATTTTATTTTCTTTATTAACGGCCAAGTCAATATTATAACATACTTCTCAATAACAAATTTTACAGGGTTAATACAATTTTCACGTATTTTAATTTACATTTAAATTTACGTTGCCCTATAGATGATGGCAATACCCATTGTCAAACCGTTGAGATCAATTAGGTACTCAATGGTCAAACTATTGCCGACTTTACAACTGTATATGATATGGTATTTCTCCACGTTTTCCTAAAATTCCGCTAAACACTTCACTTCTACTTTCAACTATTTACTATTTAGATTCCCTATTACATGTAGTATGTCCTTGCACAAAGCAGGACAACCCCCGTTACCCTGGTATTTATTACCAAATGCATTTTGGAGACCGGAGCTGTCACAGGGGCAACTTGTCATAATGCCGATTTCTCCCTTATTTACGAAAGTCGAGAGGACATTTTGTCACAAGAATTCTACTGAAGGTTAAAAATCCAATCTATTTTAATCGTTGGTATCCAAAATTTCAAAAAAATGTAAATGGGCAGTCTAATTTCGGTTCAAAAATATTAAAGGGCGCCCGAGTTATAACGACTAAATCCAAAATTGTGACAACTAGCCCCGGTCTCCCCATTCCGCTACTTACAATGACAGACGTAATTTAGCTAGTTCAATCAACATTTTGATTTTCTTTAACAAGTCATTTTTAGACGGAATTTTGTAACTATCCGTTACGGCGTTACACTTAACTTTATGCTCTGTTGGTAGTTTATCCACTCTACCTCATAATATAATCATAATAGTGTAGTTTTTTTTCATTTCCCAAAGCTCTTCAGGCTATAACCCTTCAGAAATAATCGTTTTTCAATCGATTTAAAAACAGGTCGACTTTTTATCATTTTTAGAGGAAATAAGCTACTAACTTGTAGATAATTATACTTCGTTACTCCGGTAGCCTATAGCACAATTGTAATTTGTATTTTGGCAACACGGCGCATTACATTCAAAGCAAAAAAGGGGTCCGTCTTATCAGTGGCTCGTTACCCAACTCGTCATTCTTGCATTTAGTGCGGTACGGTACACTTCGTTCCTCGCAAAAACAGTGTTACGATTATATTCCGAACATGGGAAAAAACAAAAAACGCCCTTCGGACACGGAAATGTCCGTCTTGAAAAAGAAAATGCGAAAAGTGCAGCGCTTCATGAGTCAATTGCGGAAAAATTCAAGGGTGACTCGTCGTCGGATTCGGGAAGTAAGTGGTTTTATAATAATATATGTTTTAAAGGTGGCCAGTTTTCCAAAAAAATGTGTTTTTATTAAATGTAGGTCATTTTAACAAATACCTACACACTTCTATATCTCATGGTTGGGTTAACACATACCATAAAAAGGGAATAGAAAATGGACCGTTACAGTTTTTCTCTTATTCCTTTTAGCGTCACAATCGGAGTTTTCACGCAATGACAGCTTCAGACACCGATAACGTTTCGAATGTATCTCCCGTTCAGCTTACTCAAGCCGAGGTTCATAATAACCCAGAAATCGATACCTTATTAGGAGAGAGTCCAATCAGCACTCGGCCCACCGATTCTTGACCAATTATCGGTTAGATGGACATCCTTTTTGAGACTTGGGTTAGACAAGGACACCAAAGAGAAACTCTTCGAGACGTGGCGTCTTCCAGAAAACTGCGCCGCTCTGGAAAGTCCCGCCATGAATCCCGAAATACAGTTGCTGTTAAGCAAATGGGGCCAAATTAGATTCCTATTATGAGCCATCTTGAATCAACCGTGGGAAGGGGTTTGTCAGCTCTTGGTTCAGTCCTAACTAAGCCGCTGAATAAGGAGTCTATTATAGACATCAATAGCTTAATCCCTGACTTAGTAGACTTCTTAAAGTTTATGGGTCAGACGCATTATTTACTGTCGCAACACAAGCTCAATCCGTCTAACCAGAAGGTAGCAAAAGATTGTCCATTAGACTCCTCTACCTTTTCGGGGAGAATCTAACAGATCGTTGTAAGGCGGCACAGTCCTTGCAAAAATCATGTCTGGAAATGAGAGCTGCACCAGCAAAATCATTCGATAAGACTCAATCGAGTGCTTCAGCGATCTGCTCAGCCTCCAAGGTCCAAATACAAGAAACCGGAGGGGTCAGCCAAATCCAAAAATCAAGATCAGAGACAGCGGAGCTACAGATCCAACCGCAAGAAGTCCAGTTACTCGTAGTACCAGAACAACCGTCAACGCCACTACAGGTAGGATCGCCATTTTATAGGGAATTGGAAACAGCTTAGACGTGATCCATTTGTACTGCATTGTGTCCGGGGTTATGAAATTAAATTTAACAACAATACCCCTCCGGCGCTCAGCCCTCATTCCCCTCTATATGATCACGCTATTACGCAACTATTCAGTCGGGTGCAGTTTCTAAATGTTACCCTTGCCAGGGACAATTTTTTTCGTCCTATTTTTTAGTACCTAAATCAGACTGTACTTCACGTTTTGTACTTAATTAAAAAAAATTAAATCTCTTTATAACTCCACATTTTAAACTCTTTAAACTTTACTGTTCCAATTTCCAAGAGGTCTAAAAAATATTTGCGCTTTCCATATAGAGGGGAATTCTTTGAGTTCAATTGTTTACCGTTTAAATTTTATAATAGGCGTTTGGTAGAGACATTTCAACATCTACAATATTGTGCTATAGGCTGACGGAGTAACGAAGTGTAATTGAAGATTAAACGACTCCGGCAGCCTATAGCATCCCACCCCACCATCTATTTAAAAATACAGTGTTTCCTCCCCATAATTACGATCTACAAAATACTAATTGCAAAATAACGAGTTGGGTAACGAGCCACCGATAAGGCAGACCCCTTTTTTGCTTTGAATGTAGTGCGCCGTGTTGCCAAAATCCAAACTACAATTGTGATATAGGCTGCCGGAGTAACTTGTATAATTACTTTCATTATCTTCAATAATGGTGCTATGAAAAGTTCGTATTTGTCAATTACCTATCTTTACAGTTTTTATATGCAATTATGTTTAATCATAAACAGCAAAATACACAACAATTTTTAACGCACTTTATTACGCCAGACCATACAACTATCATGATTTATTATTCAATGCAACTATACAATACTGAATTTACAATTTATATTGTTTGTAGTCATTCAAACAATTTAAGAAAGTGTTTTCAACTGTTGAAGGTCCATCTAAAACATAATGTTTTCATTTTTGGCCACTTTGGCAACCAATTTAAGTATTTACCAAATGGATACCATTTCTCGGCTGTTGCATCGGAATCTGTTCGAGCTGCAGCAACTGCATTTCTAATCGCAAGCGGAACGCAGCAGGACATACATAACGGAGGTTCTCCGGTGGCTGGAAATAGTAGACTAGGTACATTGATGATACGTTTTTACTTACCCTTAGAGAAAAAGATTCCTAAAGGATTCGGATTTTTTTTCGGAAACTTCACCCGAAAATCAATTGGAATGTCTTTAACGCCAGGAGGCTTATAATTCCAAGTTCGATTAGTTGCGAGTTCCCCTTCTGGATTGTATATTATTTCCTCGGAGGTCCAGTAACCAACACCCATCATAAACGCCCCTTCCACTTGGCCAATGTCAACATGTGGACTCATACTATTACCTGTATCTTCTATTAAGTCAACTCTTAATATATTATGTTGACCAGTTAGCACATCTATCTGCACTTCCGCACACGTTGCACCATAAATATGGTACGCATTAACATCAGGTAATGACGAACTGAACCTATAATGAATAGTTGTTGTTTATTGAGCATACATTGGATAGTCTTACATGAACGTTGTGGTCAATGAAACATCTTTCATATAGCAAGCTTGGACTAACTCAAGCCAGTTAGGGTTATCCATTGTTTGTTTCACAACCTCCATCCGTTGTTTCAATTCTTCACACGCTTTGGAAACGGCCTAAAGTACAATTGTTCAATTTTGGGGGATCCATTTGGATATGGTTTACTTACGTAACACACAGCTTCACTTGTTAGACTACCACCAGAAACCAACGCATTAGGCGAAATCGTTGTATTGGTTGGCTTGATTACAATGTGATTTAAGGGTATTCCTAAAGCATGCGCACACACTTGGGCGACCTAATTAATTTGCTCAATGTTTGCGATTTAATTATTCGCAAATTACCTTTGTATTAATTCCTTGGCCCATTTCAATACCGCCATGTGTTATGGCAACTGTACCATCCGATTGATAAACACTGAGGTAGACATTCCAATTTCCAAACAGTATTTGGAAATACCCCATGGGAACAACCGCAATTCCCTTTTTAACCCATCGATTTTTCTAAAAGAGCTTCCTACATATCTATATAACGCGAAAGCGCTCTTACCAAATTAAAATTCATTATATCCTTTCTTCTGCTTTCCACATTAGCCCATTCCATCAAGTCGTTCAAATATTTAGAAAGGTTAGGTTGCTGTTTATCGAAATTATTTTGATAAACCGTAACGGGATCAATGTTAAGACTAACGGCAATATGATTCATCAAGCTGACGGAAGTTGCAAGGGCTTCAGTTGTTCCTGTATTGAAAAGCAAAAATGTAACACTTGAAATTACCAATGTGGAATAATCAAACCAGGTGCTCGGCAAAAAGTCGCTTGTGGTGTATCCGTTTTAGTAGAAAATATTTTCATATTCCAAGTATCATGTTCAAAATTCCCGGTAACCATGTTTAATAACGCATTTCCCAAACTTTCGTTTCCAGCGTAACCTAAATCAGAGTACAACGATGCATTTAAATACTGAATTGTTCCCGTGTCGTCCACCCCCATGTCGTAATCCATCGAACATGGCAAACGTTTTCCAATAATATTCATATTTGTTGTTAAAGGCAAGGATAGTTTGATCGGTTTTTTCAGCTTGTAGGCTGCAATTGCTGCTGCACAAGATACGATACTGTTTCTGGATATTTTCGCGCCGTACCCTCCACCTAAGCGACGAACGATTACATTGATCCTAAAAAGCAAAATCACAATTGTTTTTAGCAAGAAAATTCTTACTTATTTGCAGGTATATTTAAAGTTACTGCGGCGGTAACTTGAGGCATTGTTACTGATTGTGCTGATGGAAATAATGTTAACTCGTCGTCTTCGGGTACTGCTACGCAGCACTGAGTTTCCATAGTGTAGTGATATTGGGTGGAGGCGTCAAATCTTCCTTTAATTACATGCTTGACGTCCTCACCTGCGCAATATGGTTATCTAACAGAAATTAAAATATCACTAAAAGGTACCAAGTCGCGTAGCTTTGAGTTCATCGTCAAGCTTAATGCGATCCGACCGATTATTGGACAATATGTCTCTTATAGTGAGCAGCGGTTTTTCAGAACTTCTTTTATAAGTAACATTTACCAATTCCGCAGCCTTCTCTGCGATGTATTGGCTATTCGCTACTATCATACCTATGGGTTGATGGTAATACTCAACGTGTCCGCTACAAAAAATTTCTTCATCCGTCACAAACATAAAGGACGCTTCCTTCGGCGTGAACGAATTTCTACCGGGGATGTCGTTCTTATCTAAATAAGCAACAACGCCTTTAATTCCCTAAAAAGCAGGTAATATAAATATAGTAACGCGCAAGTGGACAAGTGAGCATTCAACCATGGCTTCTTTGGGATCGATTTCAAGAATGGTAGAATTCGCAGGAGCCTTCGCCAGGACAAGTGCCGCATATAACTGGTTGGGGTAATCGGGAGTGTCCATAATGTATTTAGCTTGACCTAAACGAAGGGATTGTAACGAAAAATACGTGAAGGGTAGAAGAACCTGTGCTTTGGCTTAACGCTTCTATTTTTGGAATGGCTTGCGTTAATGGATATAAGGATTCGTTGGTCTCGTAGTCTTGAGTACCTGTGGATACAGGTCGCACAAATTTTGAACGTCCACTCACGAAATTGGGGAGCAGTTTACTTTCAGGTGCGATGCTCAAAATAAACTAATGCAATGGGTAAGCGGCGGATTTTTAGTTTGTACTTACTTTATATGTAAGCGAAATTGCGACTTTCTTCCTATACTCTGGCGAGGGATCGGGTAGAACGTGATTGGGTTTTATTTCCAAATCTAAATAATGAAAAAGTCTTTGTATCGTGTCGTTTTTGAATAACTGTTTTCCTATTAGGTACTCTTCAGACATCTTAGCGTGGATGAAGTTTGGATTGATTGGTCCGAAAACCAATCGAGCAGAAGTTACGATGCTGTTGTCGCGTAATTTCAGTAGGAAACCTGCGTGTATGAGAGCGTGAGCATTTTGGGCGCGCGGCATTATCTGGAAACGAAGTTAGTATAACTTGAGGTATGTACAACATAGATATTACCTTGTAGCTTTCGTATCTATATGTTTCATCTAATGCGGGAAGGATAATGTTTTTGATAACCACTTTGTTCATGTCTGACCTTAAAAAATCGACTAAGTTTTTGTTGTATTGATTTCGATTGACGCCGACTAACAAATTATTATTATAGAAAAGGAGTGATTGGGAGCATTCTTACCCAATGTTAATTGAGCACCTACTGTTTCCAGAATGAGAAATAAATCGGATGGAAATTCATGATGTTCGTGTTTGGTAAATAAATTGCCTGCCAATGTACCGACCTTTAAAAATAATTATTTGTAGGTACTCAAGAAAACGGGTGTAATAGTCTAGGCGATAGAGACTGTAAAATTGGCAAACTGGACATTTTGAGGTGGAAAAGAAAAAAATGGTGGAATATGTTCAGTTAGGTGTCAAAAACAACATATTAAAAATCCCACCCTCCAGACCCTGTGCTAATGGCTCCAGCCACCCCACCATCCCCCAAAAACCGTGTTTTCGCTCTTTTTGGCTGATATCTCGCGATCTACGAGTATGAGGTCTATATGAAATATTTTTAGCTGAAAATATTTCTCGGGAAATTTCATACAAGGTAGATACTCAGAAGTTAGCCTAGGTGTACCTCTTTTAGCCAAGGAAATTCATAAAAGCGGCGAAAATCATCAATTTTCGTGGCTTTTTGCAAATATATCGCGACCTTTAGAGCTAGATGAAATATTTTTAGCTGAAAATGCTCCTCGTGAAATTTTTTACAAGGTAGATACTCAGAAGTTAGCCTAGGTGTGTACCTCTTAGCCTAGAAAATTCATAAAAGGAGGCGAAAATCATCATTTTCGTGTTTTTTTTGCGGTTTTTTGCAAAAATATCGCGACCTTCAGGGCTAGATGAAATATGTTTAGCTGAAAATGCTCTTCGTGCAATTTCATACGAGATAGGTAACTGAAGAGTTGGCGTAAAGTCACCTTTCACCTTCAACTTTCATGTGTGAGGAAATATTCATTGTAAAACAAAGTATTTCTATGTACCATTTATTCACGTCAAAACAGTATTTTCATATTAAAATATTCACACATTCATTTATACCTCAACGTAATCATTACCCTTATACTTATCCAAATCAATTCGTACTTTTTCGATCAGACTTCTCAATCAAAAGTTATAGACTAGATGCAGATTCCGCTTCTTCAGGCTCTTCGACGTCCTCTAGTGGTAGTGGGTCGTCTGAGATTACCGACTCGTAGTTCTCGTCTTCTGATGCATAGGTACCCTGAAGAGACGACGTGGCATTTAGGCACGATGCTCCATGACACTGGACGCAGAGTTCATTACACTTCAGACCTACAACAAGAAGCATTATGTCAAAAAAATGTTTATAATTATGTATATGATTATAATATTCTCTCGTCTGTCCTAAGTGTCCGGTAGAGAAGGTTTACCTGATTTCCTGCAACTGTTTCAGAAAATCAGGTGAACCTGCTCTACCAGACACTTAGGAGTTAGGACACACGAGAGAATATTATATTCGTATACTTAATTATAAAATTTTTTTGACATAATATTTCTTGTTGTAGGTCTGAAGAACGAATTCTGCGTCGTGTCATGGAACATCGTGCCTAAATGGGACGTCGTCGTTTCAGGGTGCCCATGCAGGTAAAGCGGAAGGCGAGGAGAACTACGAGTCGGTAATTTCAGACGACCCACTAGCACTAGAGGACGCCGAAGAGCCTGAAGAAGTGGAATCTGCAGAGGATAATGATTACGTTGAGGTATAAATGAATGTGTGAATATTTTAATATGAAAATACTGTTTTTACGTGAATAAATGGTACATAGAAATACTTTGTTTTACGATGAATATTTCCTCACACATGACAGTTGAAGGTGAAAGGTGACTTTACGCCAACTCTTCAGTTACCTATCTCGTATGAAATTGCACGAAGAGCATTTTCAGCTAAACATATATCATCTAGCCCTGAAGGTCGCGATATATTTGCAAAAAACCGCAAAAAACACGAAAATTGATGATTTTCGCCTCCTTTTATGAATTTCCTAGGCTAAGAGGTACACACCTAGGCTAACTTCTGAGTATCTACCTTGTAAGAAATTTCACGAGGAGCATTTTCAGCTAAAAATATTTCATCTAGCCCTAAAGGTCGCGATATATTTGCAAAAAGCCACGAAAATTGATGATTTTCGCCTCTTTTATGAATTTCCTAGGCTAAGAGGTACACCTAGGCTAACTTCTGAGTATCTACCTTGCATAAAATTTCCCGAGAAATATTTTCAGCTAAAAATATTTCATATAGACCTCATAGATCGCGAGATATCAGCCAAAAAGAGCGAAAACACGGTTTTTGGGGGATGGTGGGGTGGCTGGAGCCTTTAGCACAGGGTCTGGGGGGTGGGATTTTTAATATGTTGTTTCTGACACCTAACTGAACATATTCCACCATTTTATTCTTTTCCACCTCAAAATGTCCAGTTAGATGTCTTTATCGCCTAGCGGGCCTAGCCTATAATAGCTATTTACTTACATTTCGTACGGATACTGTGGCAACCAGGTCAATGTGATCGGCTAATTTTTGTAAGTATGAAAATTGTTTATGTTGGGTGGCTAGACTACAAAATAGGTGCATTGCGTTAGTTAGAGTCATGTTAGCTCCAATAACCAGGTGATCACCCTCCATTCTGTGTTCCAAGAGAGCCTTCACGCATGTAATGTCAATATAAAAATCAACTTCTTTTCTCAATGGGTATACTCCTAAAAATATTAGACTGTGACCTCAAACTTCACGGATCACATTTTGAGCAGCACATAATGACTGTTATAGGTACTCATTTTGAATATGACATTAAGTAAGATGGATTAGAGGATGAAAAACGACAAATAATTATTTACGAGACACATTCTCATAAAGAGTACAGTTAAGTCAGATAGATGCAAAGACATCAATGTAATAAAGGAACCGATTTCTCACATCCATTTTCCGTTTTTGATTTTCAAGTGATAATTTCAATCTTACCTTTTGCCGAGTTTCCACTAACTAATTGGTAACTTGATTCTCCAGCCTCCATAAACACATCAAGGATTTCATCGATTGAATACACTTTATACCATTTGGACGATTGAAGGGAATAAAAATGCGGTTGAGACTTTTTGGAGCACTTACTAGCGCACGGTGCAAAGCAGCGTTTTCCACTCCTTTCACAAATCTTGATATCTTCAATGTCGGCATAACTACCTAAAACTGCTGGCGTCGCATCTGATGCTAAAGATTTAAAGGCAGACAGTATAGGTCTATATCCGGTACATCTGCAAATATTTCCAGCGAAACTATTTTCTACTTGCTCCATGGTAAAATCTCCCAACTCATACAGGGGGAACATATTCATTAACATTCCCGAAGTGCAGTATCCGCATTGGGTTCCATTAAACTGTACCAATGCTTTTTGAATAGGGTGGTAACCCTTTTTTTCGTTACCTATCGATTCTATGGTATGAACTCTCCAGCCTTCGCATACGTAAATCGGCACCAAACACTAAAGGAAGTGACCAAAAAAGATAAGATTTTAAAATTTACCCCTCTTACCGAGTTAACTGCAAGAATAGTGTCACAGTTGGTTGTTGGATCGGTCACCGTTACCGCTACCACGCAAGCACCGCATCCTCCCTCGTTACACATATACTTAGTGCCTGTTAAATGTAACTTTTGACGAATGTAATAATTAAGGGAGGTTTCAGGTGGTAAGTCGTCAGTTTTAACTGTGTAAAAGAGAAGACTAGTAAAAAGAATTTGAATATTTTTTTTATCACCTGTAATTTCCTCATCTTCTATGAAAAAGTTGAACTCACGTCTCCTGAACACAAAATTAAGTATTATATAATATGTACAATAAATGGTCTCTCTTGTTAAAATTGCAATAAGGCCGGTATTACAAAATATGTTTTATAAAAGATTGACAAATATTTTAAAACTAACATTTTATTAAAGAGGAAGTATTATACACTGTCAAATAAATGACGAAAGTATCCAATCGCACGCACTCTTTTCCTTTTGAATTTCTTGTCGCCACGACTTCCTAAACCCATTAAGAAAAACAATGCTCTCTTGAACTGAAATATTCAAATATTCAACGCGGTATAAAAATCTTTATTATGAAAATTACATTACACGTAACAATTATCGGACAAATTTCGATACCCTATAAATCTTCTATATGTAATGTCCAAGTTACTCTGTTCTAACTTCATAATGAAATACAGTTACAGTACCTACCCCCATGCTACAGTATGATCCTTTATACCGTGCCCATACATTGGATGCGGCACATTTTAGATTTCTCATGCCAAGTAATCATAGGTGCTATTTTGTGCCTGGGTGATTTATTATACTCTCTCTCATTTTGGAGAGGTTATAATTAAGACTCTATTTACAATCTATCGCAAACTCAGTTGTGAGAATTCCGAAGAACAAAACTTGCTAACTAACAATGGATTTCGAATAATTAGAATGTCACTTTTCTCTGAGGTACCAGGTACACCAATTTTATCTTGGAGCGTAATTATCTCACCTTCATTAACAATAGTAACGTCACCATTATCATTATAAAAAACATTTTGGAGGAGCAACTATCGTGGACGCAAGTGACCCGGATGCAAGTGTCCTGATCCGAGTCATACAGTGACGCTCTTATTTACTATTACAAAACTGTTAGATTGCTATATGTAACTTATATCAGAATATTTAATTTACATTTATTATTGAAATATTGAGTCGATATAGTACCTATTGCACAAAGTCTATTGAGCGCAGAGATTAAAATCATATAGTATATATGACATATACGTATATAGTGTTTTTTGCGATAAAGCATACCTATACTTATACAAATACAAAAGAATGCATTCTGAGTAATGTTACTGAGCATCTTTTTATTGCAGCCTTAAAAGTAAATAAGTAAATTAAATGAGAACAAGCAACAATTTTCGTAAGGTGCACATATCGCATTTTTTTGTAATATGTGACGAAAATAATATGTACTTACTGTGCAAAGAATGACCGTTGATCCTTGATTTCTTTACCGATATCCATACTGAATCAATGCACCAAGATTAATCTGTAAATTCACTTTTGTTAGTTACTGGCTTTGTATAAATAAACAATGGTTACCGGCTTTGAAGACTTGCAAATCGTTTCTAATCTTCTATCTTCATGATATTAAAGCATCGTGTCTGATATATGTTATTAAGTGATAAATATACATTGGGTAAATAAACAATAAGTGGTGATGACGTGATGTAATAACACAACATTTAAATTATTTATATGAGTACGTATGTACTGTCGAATTAAAATCTGTTCGCTCATTATGTCTAATTAGAGGAAAGACGCAAATAAATTACAAGATGCGTTACCTATTCGCATTTGAAGAAATAAGAGGTAAGCGAACTAAATATGAAAGAAAAATTGGTATTAAATATGTGAAAATGGGATGGGTTGCTCGGGAAATTTAAGTTAAGGTGGAGAATGCCCGTCCCCTAAGCCTTTTTGTGAATAATATCTTTATTTTTTATATATAGGATTGCTAAAAATTGGGCAAATCAAAGCTTGTAACCTATGGAAAGAGACATGTATTACAAAAATACGACAAAATCCAAAAACAAAAGAAATTAGAAATTTACTTGTCCAGTGGCCCATTACCTACCACAATCCGGTAATGGTGGCTTAGGACCACCACAACATTTTACCTTTCAATTACGCGAACAACAAAATCACAGAAAGTGAATCTTATTTACTAATAGGTAAAGATACACCCCCATCAATTATTTACTAAATTCCCACCCTCAACAAAGAAAGCACTATACCTACTATACACCCGAATGAAGTAGAGTAGGCAATCATATTATAGCCGATAGTGGCCTAAAATTCATTCTGGGACCTGGGTATTCTTATTTTAAGTATTATTCGCATTTCGCACCCAATATTGGGATCTAATCATTTTCTAAGTGTGAACGTTTTTCAAAATTAAGCAGTATCAGAAATACAAATAGAACATATTAAGTAAGTTGTGTTATATTATGGTAGTAGGTACCTACCAATATCACAATTGTATTCTCAGTGACTTGCACATAGTAGACAACACGAAATATACTAACTATATAAGTATCTGCATTGATCTTAAATAAGTAATTACGTAGCACATAGCATGTAGGCGAGGTCAAATTTCTAACTATATACCAAATCTCCTATGAGTTTATGTATCCACTCTCTTATTATCTCTGTACAATGACGGAATTAAATACATAATTACTAAGTATATGTACTTCCATTCTTGGCACTTATGAATGGAATCGTTACTGAAGGAAATGACTCTCTAATATTAATAATATCAAATAACGCAAAAAACAACCAACAATTTTCTCTCTATAACATTCATTCATGTACTGTTCCTAGTCCAGTGCATACCAAGAACCCAAAAATATAACAATGGCAACTAGTTTCTCGGTACAGCAGGGGCGCCGGAAGAAAATGCGCTAGGGAGGGGCCCCTTACATGTTTGGAATAGAAAATGTTATCTAACTATTTTTAAATTAGTAAATCAATAGAATACGCAGCTAAATCATATATTCAATAAAAACCATTGGTGTAATAGTTTAATAGGTACATATTAGACACAAAACAAAACAAGAACAAAAGTAACAAGTTACAGTAGTTTACTGAAAAAAATATTAGCACAGATACCACTCGCACACCGGCGCATGCGCGTTCTACCTTCATTTAGGTCTAACCATATGTGTACCAAATTTGGTTCCAATCGGTTCAGCCGTTTAGCCGTTAATGAGAGTTTAACACATTTGCGCATGAGCTATTCTCCCGGAAAGCTTTTCAGCTCTTCCTTTTATATGATGAATAGGTGCACCAAATTTGGTAACAATAACAGTACGCTACAGACAGACCGACATAATCAAAATTTTATTGGATTCGGAATCCTGGTGCTTCAAAACGTGTATTTCCGTAAAAAAGTGGGGGTGATTTTTTATCCCAATGCAATACCTCCCTTACTAACGTGCGGGTGATAACAATATTACAGTACGTAAGGTAAATTCGAGGGCACATTAAACTGTTTCTGTATATTTTTTCTACTCAAAACTATAACAAATTACCAACCATAATGTTATTGATTACAATGTTGAATGTAGCGTAGGATAACACAATTTAATTATTTCGAAACAATAAAAATTCCTCTTACGTGATGATTTTGTACGTCTGCCTGTCAATCTGTTCCTCGTCTATCTCGAGAACGAAAATTCAGCGATGTCAAATCTTCGCCAATCCATTTCTACGAGTTCAAGGATCAGTGCTATAATGAATATGAGCGGAATTAAAAGTCTGATTTCCCAATACGAGCTGAGTAACAAAAAATTCCCCTACTAAAGAATAGCTGGGGAAGGAAGGGACTAATCCAAAAAGTCTTTTGTCGTTCTGATCTCGAGGCTGTGCTACACCGTATAAGAAAGAAACAACAACGAAATAGCTTAAAGTGGAGGACTAGTAATGGTAAAGACGGACAAAGTGCGGACAATAGCGTTCATTTTCCTTTTGGAAAATGCGCTCAAAAGCGCCGAACCGAAATATGTAACATGACAGCTTATTGTCATTGATGTTTTTCCAAAACAAACAGCCACCCTGCGGTCTTCGGTTAATTTAATCTCTATAGTCTATACAATATGGGAACTTTATGGACATTGAGGTAACTCAATAAGGTTATAAAAGGTTTGCCTACTTTTGCTTTGTCACCGAACAGCGATGGGACAGAAAAAGGTGGCTATTCTGGTTTTATCGTGAGCTTTCAACATTTTCTAAAATGGATTAAGCGATTTATCAAATCCCAGGGAGGGGCCCGGGCCCCCCCTTGCCCTTTAGTAGCGGCGCCCATGCGGTACAGACTGCAGAGAGCGTTTGCCGCTATTTTAAAATCGTTAATAGGGTAGTTTTTTCAACGCTCTTTTAACAGGTTGTACTTACGCTATTAGTTGCAAGAGTTTTCACCATATACGGGCTGATTCAAATTCGAGGGCCCCCACGGGAGTCTCGGAAAAATGGAGGGAGGGAAAAAAATGGCCATAATAAAGTGTCATTTATCTTGAAATATCTTTTTAAATAACTTCGGTAAAAATAAAAACGTTTTTGCAAAATCTCCCAAAGTAGTCGGATTTTTTCAGTTTCAAAACGCCCTTTTGTTAAGCACAAAACACGCAACGCTGCCAAATTTAAACTACCTACCTACCTATTTTTTACATTTTCCGAGATCCCCATGGTGGCCCTCGAATTTGAATCAGCCTGTATAAGGTCTTTGAATATAAATTATACTAAAAGATAAGGTTTATTCCACCCAAATGTTCTCGTGGCTATACTTACCCCTTCATCTTAAATTTAAAGTATACAAACCGGCAATCTTTTCTTCTTTTCTATTGTCACACTATCTTGCTTTGTGTGTCTTGAAGAAAGTATCACGATCCTTGAATGTAAATAAATGAATGTCTATATATGTCATGGACTGATATGCTCCTCTGGACCCTCTGCCTCTGATTAGGAAAACTTAGATAATACACTTGCGCCCACTATTAACGTAATAAGGTGCATGTGAATTACACGCAGGTGTACGGAGAGTAATAAACAAAACTGGTAGACACCATTTCACTTTGTAATACATCCGAAAAAAAAATAACATTCATATGTTGCATCTGTATGTTAGAAACGTGAGTGTGAATTGGTGTGTTCGTTTGCCTACTACCTATAATGTACCCTTTTACAAAAAATTAGATTGCCTCCCTTCACATTTTTCACAGGCTTAGCACTGTCGACATAAAAATGGTTTATCCAGTCGTCATTCTTTTTTTTTGTTATACGATGTTTTTTTAAATTTTTTTTTAGATTTTGCAATATTTTTTCAATGGTTTTACTTTTTTAAACATGGCCTATATACATATATTATATACATTATTTACAACTCAAGCATAGTTATTCTAGCTTTTGCACATAATCCAGAGTTCTCAAGACATTTTTTACATTAAGGTCAGAAATATCGTGGTAGGTGCTACTATTAGAAGAGCAAGCGTTTACCAAATCGGAGTCAGGAGCTCAAGTGGGCCAGGGGACCACATGATCAAGGGAGCATCTGTCCTGATACGACAAATAACACGGTTGTAGATATGCTTTTATTTTGAATGGAATCGATGGATCCACTCAGTATACTCACAATAAAAAATAAGGATATTGCTTTATAACAAATAAGTAACGTATCCTGCTAGTCAATCAGATCGGAGCGTCGCACAAATCCTAAAAAAACACTTTTATCATTTATTTGCAAATACTGTAACAAAATATGAACTATTTTTTACAATTGACTTTGGAATCTTATGAAAAGGAAGCCACATTCACATATTTTGATTGTCAGATTCTGCACTACTATGTGCACTGGTACCGCCAATTCTTGCTTTTGCAAATTTTTGATGATGTTCAGTTGTTAATGGAAGAAGAGCCTTAAAGAAATGCCTCGCACAGGTTAGAGTTCCTTCACGAAATCTTCGAAAGTCTCTACCTATTGAGTCAGATCGCGTACATACACTAACTCGCTGTTTGTTCATTAAACTTACCCATCGGTAACGTTTCATTTTCTATAACGACAGTTTGCTGAGTTAACGCAGCTAACATTCTCAAGAGTACGTTTTCCTCATCTTTATCTGACATCGGCCCGAGCTTGGCAATAAAGTTAATCAAATATTCGATTAAACACGCTTCTTCCTGAAAGAATGGCGAAATACAAAAAGATATAGGTACATTGTTACAGTCAATACCAAATCAAACTTTGCTAAACACTGCTCCGTTAATTTGTAATTAATTACAATTACTTCTAAATCGTCTGTTCCCAACACTGGACTTCTTAAGGTTTCTAACCAGTCGTAAAGTAAACTTGCCAACATAGCAATATTGGTTTCATTTTTTAAAAGTTTCCATCCAAATTGAGATGCATTTATGGTATTTTCGTATTCCAAAATTGTTTGTGCGAATTTTGAGTCGGCATTGTCAAAGGGAATTAGAAGGGATGAGATGACTTCACTTCGATCATATATTTCTCGGAGAGAATCAGTATCCTCTTTTTGCTTATTGGTGACTAGTTCTTGAAAACATTTATTTTCGTTCAGCAATAAATCCTTTACGTCTTCCTTCAATTCTTCTCCATCCAAAGTACTTAGATCTACAATACAATTTCGGTGAAACTTACTTCGTAAGTAGCCTTTACCTGAGTACGAATCACTAAACTTTACAGATGCATCTGTGTTTTCGTCACATTCCGACGGACTAGGACTTGGAGAAGTTGCGTTGCATGTGTAAGAACTGTTGCATGTCGGAAGCTTTGGCAGATCGTCAGTCGAAAGAATGTCTACATGAAAACGACGTAATAATATTATTAAAGCAAATTTGTATTCCTACCGTCAACGCTGGATACACGGGAAAAGGACTCTTGTTGCTGGGTACCACCATGTACCTTTATACAAAGGAAGTTTTGTGTTATCGAGAGTGCATTTGAAGAAAATTCATCAGTTTGACAGCCACATAACTCCAACATTCTCTCGCAAATTACATGAACAATCTGTAAAGTTGTTGGAATTATTATTAGGTATAAGTAGTGTAATTTGCTAGTAACGGAAATTAAAGCTTGGACTCTACAATTCACAATTATCACCTTGCTTCTCTCTTGTAAAGAGACGCTCTCACGCTGTTATTCGTAAT